GGATTGGCCATAAAGTGACCAAAGGAGACGGCGATGCTGCGCACACCCGCGAGCGAGGCCGCAAGCGCTGCACCAAGCGTTCCCGACGAGAGCGCAAAGGCGGTGCCCGTGTTGCGGCCAAAGTTGGGCCCCGAGACGACGAGGTCGAAAGGAGTCGAGGTAGTGGCGGGCGCCTCTCGCTCGGCGGCGGTGTCGCCAAAGAAGGCGTTCTGGTTGAAGAGGCCCGAGTTGGAAGCCGTGGTGGGCGAGCCATCGATGAGGATCCATTCGGCAATCTCGCCACGCTCACGATCGATGGGTCGACGAGTAGCCGACCAGGACTGGGCGGTTCCGGCGTGCTTGCCGTCAAAGTTGCCGTCGATCGGATAGTAGTACCAGTAGGCGACGGGGCCTTGGAGCGAGAACTGCATCGATCCCCACGACTTTTGGAAAGACGGCAGCACCACGCTCACATCCCAGCCGAGCGCACAGAGCTCCTTGTAGAGGCCCAAGACGTGGGGCGACGATGTGGAGGGCGGGCCGTCGTCGTTGACGAGGAGCACCTTTGGGCGTGCGCTACCAGAGGCGGTGGAGGGTGCCGACATGGTGTTGTCCTTGCGGGGGAGCGTATCGCGGGTAGTGTCTGACAGTTGTCCGTCTAAGAAGATTCCGCGTGCTTCTTCTATGTCGCGGGTTGGATCCAGAAGAGAGTTGCGGGAGCGACTGTAGTCCCGGTGGAGAAGGATAGCAATACAGAGCAGAAGAACAGGAGTGAGGAGGTTGTGCAGCCAAGCGGCGCGCGGCATCCACCGTTTGCTGTACGAGAGGTCGAGGACGAGGTCGAGGACGAGGCGAGGATGGTGGTGAGAGGTGGAGGAGCGGGCGATGTATCCGCTTTGCCAAGCATCGCAGACTCGTAGCGCACTGGATCCTCGGCGATTGAATAGCCGTGCGCCGATCCGTGCGGCCAATTGAGCATTGTTAGCCCGACAGTTCAGACACTCTCAACAGGTCGCCAATCTTGAGTCTCGTTTGCCTCTCGACCTCCACCGCCATCATCGTGCCTCGTCTCCTCCTCATCTCGGCACACTCCCCGTGATCCTGGTCTGCTGAACCGCCAGTGTCGCCTCGTCCGTCAACATTGCTCGCTAGCTCGTCTGCATCCACCCTTCAGCATCGCATCGTTCGACGAGTTTGAGCTGCAGCCTCTCGGTAGCAGCTCGTCTCCGCTTGGTTCGCCCGCCATGGCAAACGACTACTCGCACATCCACACGCCCATCCACCCGCGCGCACCCACCGCCAACCTCGTCTCGTGCAAGGTTCTCGTCAGCCTCATTGGACAGGTCGCCATCTGTGGTGGCTTTCAGCTCTGGGCCTTCTGCTACACGCGTCGCCAGGACTGGTACGAGCCTCCGGAGATCAACCCGGACGAACTCAACACGACCAACCCGGAGAACTCGGCGGTGTTTCTCATCTCGTCGTTCCAGTACATCGTCGGATCGCTCGTCTACAGCACAGGGTATCCGTACCGCAAACCGGTCTACACCAATGTGTGGCTCATGGCCACGGTAGTGCTGCTGCTCTTCTTCTCCATCTGGGCGCTCTTTACGCCTTCGGGCTTCCTGTTTGACCTGCTCGGCCTCGTCGCCTTCCCGCGCTCCTTCCACGTTGCACTCTTCATTGCCGTCGTGCTCAACACGCTCCTCTGCTTCCTCTTCGAGACGGTGTTCGCAAAGTACGTCGTCCGATGCGTCAAGGCCATCCAGCGTGTCGTGCGCCGCTCCCGCCGCTCAAAGACCCGCAAGCACAACTCCAAGATGTACAAGGCGGTGGAACGCAGCATGCAGCTCGACGGAGACGTATAAGACACATGTCTTCCTCCTTCCGATCCCACCCTTGCACACACGGCACACTGTAATACCAGCCAAACAATTTCGGAGAGTGTGGCAATACCCCGGGTCTTGATTAATGCGTGCCACAATGCTATTACATGAAGAGAGAATGCTCGATGCTGATGCCAAGTCAAGAAAGGCGAGGGGTTGAAGGTAGGAGGCGAAGAAATCTAGCAAAAGGGAACGTGTTCCAGACGAGACGGCCATCGTACGAGATTACAAGCGCTTCTCGATTTCGGCCAGCTTGGAGGGATGCTTGGCCGACGAGCTGGCTGGTGTCTGCAGCTTCTTGCCCGCGGCCTGGCTGTCGGCGAGCGACTGGAAGTAGAGCTGCAGGTCCTCCTCGAGCATCTCGCCCTCCACCTCGTCCTCGGCAGCGCCCTTCTCGGCCTTGCTCGAGTGAAAAAGCGCCTCGAGCTCCTGCAGCTTCTGCTGGCGGTCGAGCTCGGGGTCGTAGTGGCGGTGACGCTTGAGCACCACACGCTCGTACAGCGACAGGTGGCGCGGGTGCACCGCCACGCCGTGGTAGTCTTGCTCGCGGCCCTGCACCACGCACTCCCAGTAGCGCTCCTGCTCGCGAAGGTCGAGACCCGTCGTGTCGGGGATGAAGACCATGGTGAGCACCCAGCCGAGCAGGCCGAACCACGAGACCACCCAGAACTTGGTGTGGTTGTCAATGTAGTTGTAGAGGATCGCGGGTGCGAGCGCACCGAGCTTGCCCACGGCGGCCGAAACGCCGTGCGAGGTGGCACGGATGGATGCGGGGAACACCTCGGCGGCGAGGAGGAAGGTGGTGGAGTTGGGGCCGAACTGGTTGAAGAAGGACGAGAGGAAGTAGATGGCCTGGAACGCCTTGATGCCCGAGCCGGGCACGGTGAGCGTGTTGTAGAGCGCAGCGCCGATGATGAAGAGGATGAAATCGGCGACGAAGCCGTTGGCCTGCATCCACTTGCGGCCGTACTGCTTGTGGTCGATGAGGAGCGCGGCCATGTAGTAGCCGACGAGCGAGATGATGATGTTGTACATGTTGTAGACCCAGGTAGTCTCGAGGCCGCCGGCGTTGTTGGTGATGATGCTGATGAAGACGCCCGAGAAGATCTTGTTGCCGTAGAAGAAGAAGTCGTTGGCGAACCAGCCGCCAGCAGTTCCGAGCAGACGGTGCCAGTAGTGGTGGAGCGAGAGCTTGAGCGAGACAAGGTCGTAGCCCGAAGTGTTGAGACGCTTCTTTGCGGTCTGGAGGGCGGCATCCTGGTACTTCATGCGATAGTATCGGATGTAGGCGAGGTACAGGGTGAAGGCGGCGATGATGCCGAATTGCACACGGAAGGTCCACTGCGTCGAAGTCTCGCTGTAGGGACCGTTGAGCGAGCCGTGGAAGATGAGCAGGCCGATGATCAAGACTCCTTGGTTGGCCAGCTGGCCCCAACCCTGCATGAGGAAAGAGAGCGACACCTTGCGTCCTCGGTGCATGCGGTCGCCGGTGGTGGCAGCACGACCTGTGCCCGTTCCCTCCATCGCTCTCGTCGAGGTCATGGGGTACTCTCCGCCTACGCCGATTCCATATATGAAGACGGACCATGCGTAGCAGATGACCCAGCCGTTGAGGGAGGTGCCCCACATGGCGGTGAGCATGACGGATCCGAGCGTCATGACGAGTGCATCCTGCACCATTCCGAAGCGTCTTCCGATCCAGTCGCCCTCGATGCCGACAAGGATCTGTCCGATGATGATTCCGACGATCTCGAGGTAGTCGATTGCGTGGAGCCAGTTTTCGTCGCAGACGGTGTGGTTCTTCCAGCACTGGGGCCATACAGCCTTGAAGAGGGGCGAGAGGTTTCCGATGGAGAAGAGGGTGTAGCCCTCGACAAAGAGGCCAAGACCGGTGATGACGTAGTTGCTGAAGTAGGCGCGGATGGGCGAGAGCGGGTCGCGCTTGAACATGCGACCGATCTCGCCGAGCTCGCGGCGAGCCTCTGCGTTGGACTGTGCGTTGATCCAAGAGGTCTTTTCCCAGAAGGGGAGGTCGGCCCAGTAGGTTTTCGTGTCGCTTGTGTACGAGTCGGAGGGGAAGAGCGTCTCGTTGAGAGCTGCATCGATGTGTGGGGAGGAGGCGGCGGCGGAAGAGGAATGGTGGGCGCCGTCAGCTGAAGGCGAGGAGGCCGAGTTGGACGATTGATGAGCGCTTTCCTGGCTTGAAGAAGCGACCGAAGTCATCTCGGTCTGGATGTTGTCCGCCATGATGGCTCCTCACGTGCGTCGCTTGTGATGTGAGCGGAAGAGGGGGAGGGGGGGGGGG